ATCGACCCCCCCCCCCCCCCCCCCCCCCCCCCGGCCCCCCCCCGCCCCCCCCAGGGGGGCCCGCCCCACTATTTGAGAAGTACTGGAGGATAGATGAAGTGTTTACACTTATCGAGTCACTTTGATATTATCCAACTTCGTGAGCGTTCATTTGTTGATTGTAACATGATAAGTAATGCTTCACAGTTTAAGTGGTACTTTCTTTCCTAGAAAGCAGTAGAATGTGTTTAGTTGTAATGTTTTTGGGTTTTTTTTTTTTTCAATTGATGTTTGAAATTGTATAAAATCTCTGCTCACTTTCTATCCACTTGGCTGTTCAGTCACTATGCAGACTCTTTATTATTTAATCTTTTTTAAATATGTTATCCCTGCTTTAATTACGATATTGTATAATGTGACGAGGCAAACGTACGGCCTGCTTGATGAATTTTAAAAGCTGGTCCGGTCAACAGGGCATCTAATCTGGGTCATATTTGGGCCCTGAACCAAAATGGGTTTGACACCCCAGGTGTAGTACCTACATAACACTGTCATCACAAACTAAAAAAGTATTGGTGAGCAGTATTGGCGGGTACACCAATGACAGTACTGGTAATAGTATCCGTTTGTAAAAAAAAAAAACTGTCGCTATGTTTGTCAGAGCCAGAGTCACAAATCACCTTCATGTTTTCTTGTTCGGACAGTGACCTCAAACAACAGTGTGATTTGTAAGAAACTTCCCTCTCACATTTAAACTGCTTGCATTGTAACACAAACAGAATTGGGAACGGAACTCAGCAGTGGAACTCGTGGGTTCCACTGTTGACAGCTGGGTTCTCTCCCTGGCAGGAAGTCCAGGCCCACTAATCCACACCGCTGGGACTCCAGTGAGGGATGAAAGTAGGGAGTTGCTATGACTTTGTACTTAGCGGTTTCCAATCCATAACAAGCTCCAGTGAGCATAAACATAATAGTTATTACATTATATTTTTATCCAATCAGTGTAGGGCTATTACATTACATTACAAGTTATTTCCTTCAACGTTACATTAGAGGCTGTTATTGGATTAACAGTATTATGGTTTTTTCGGGAATGGAAAAGATGTTGGCTCCTGAAATGGAGTATCCTGACCGCACTTTGTAAGTCCAAGGCACGGTATAGTATAGGGCTAAGCCCCAGTCCTCTGTGGTGCTGTACACCTCTAACAGCTGTTTACTGTGACAAGATATCACAAATACCGATCAGATCCCACCATTAAAAAAAAAAGGTAAATCAATTATTAAGTAATTTTAATTAAGGTCTGCGTTTAAATTCATGTACACTTCGATTGTAGAATAATCTTCAGATTAAAAAAAAAACATTCATATTTACTGAGGTGAAGGACCAAAACTATTTCAAATTGTATGTAAAAAAATGAATTGAACTACAAAATTGTTGATAAAATCATGAAAATACATTCAGTTATTTTGCAATTAATACTGCCAACAGTTAGCCCGTTAGCTACTGTAGCATTAAATAGACAATATATTGACTATATATATATATATATATATATATATATATATTGAATGCTATTTTGCATTCACTTTATGTTTATTGTGTTGTTTTGATTTAATTTAAGGATGTTTAGTCCATTCAATATTAATTTTTTAATAAAGAAAAAAGGTAATCAATAAGGTTATGTTACACCAAAATGTGCAGGTGTCCAAACCTGGAGGTAAGAATTAATTAAAACATCCCAGAGGGTGCTCTCTGCTCTCAACACAGCCGATGTGATGCAATTCCTTCTCTCTGCAAATTAGTAAACCTTTAAGGACTGACACTTCAACTAATCCACGCGGATCTGTGCATATTGAATGCTGATGAGCAGCGAGCGAGCGAGCGAGCGGCGAGTGTGTGGGATCTTAAGTTTGTGTGCATATGTGTGTGTGTGGGTGCACCTACGGGGCTGTTGAGGATCATGAGGCACTGGTCGAAGTGGTGGTGCTCCATGGTGGAGTGGCAGTAGAGCTGGGCCAGTGGGTGGTCGCTCCTGGACACACACACACGCACACATTAAGGAAGTTAGAAAGGAACACACGGTTTTCTCCCACACGTGTGTACGCTACAGTCATACATGCACTTCTCGGTGACTCATGCTCTTGTGCTGCACCTCTGTATGTAGGAGTTGTTGACTCCTCTGTGGTCCAAGTCGTGGCTCAGAGTCGCTATCATCAGAGCCAAGACCTCGACGTCGCTGAGGTTATTCTGTCAGAGCGCAGGATAAACAGAGGTTAAGAAAAATGGACGTGAAGTAACATAACACCACTAATTCATCAGGGCTCGCGGTATTTTTAGACAGAGAAGCAGTTTCTACCACATTTTTATAGCGTACTAGCATCCTTTAGCAAGCCAACATTCCTGACATTGTTGTCTAGACGGGGCCTATTTATTCAGGCTCAGGAGAAACTGATGTGTGCCGACAGAGTAATACTCTAGGACACGAATTTGGGTTTTATACTGTCACTTTTAAACACATTTATATAAAAACAAAAAGGTTATTTCAACTAGCAAAACCATATCCATATAAATCAGGGGTGTCAAACTCAAATTCACAGCGGTTTCTTGTTAATGTAAATCTTTTTTTTTAGAGGCCAACCACAAAAAAAAACATAATGAATGTGCTATAACATAGCGCATACACTAGCTAATACTACCAATTCTGCCAATATATATAATATATATACTGGTGGGCCAAATTTAGAACACATTTGATATGATCTCGCGGGCCAAATATAATTACACTGCGGGCAATATTTGGCCCCCGGGCCTGAGTTTGGGACATTTGATATAAATCATGACCTATGTAAGTCAAACCGATAGCCACACAGAAGAAAAGTAGATACTTGGACACTGATGACTTCTGATTTTTTTTTCATGTTGACTAATCTGGCTAATAAAGTCAACAAGTCAATTACTGACATCATCACATTGACAGAGGAAGGACAACACAGACACATGTGTCCAATAACGATCCTGTAACTCTCTCATACATTACTTTCGTAGCTTCAGCTAATGGACAAAACACAGCAATCAGTTGTTGTATCAGCTCCCAGTGAGATGACTGGATCTTAAGTCACTTTTTTACTCTTGGTTTTGAGACAGTTTCATCCTCCAAGATTGACTACACAAAAATAATTCGATCATGTAGCAACTAATGTTTTTACTTCGGCGTGTTTGTTAATGATAGGCGGTTTGATGTGTTCTCGTGTAAATGCTTTTTCCCGCACAGAGTAACGTTACGGCCCATTCTATTGGTTCAATGGAGGAATAAACATCATCTTAAGCCAATCAGAGATGAAGTGTGTTGGGACACACAGACGGAAAAAAAAAACTTTCAAGTTTTTGACTCCTCCCCTTAACTTGAGCCACCTGCGTTGACGCACCAACAATTTGTTTTTCTGTTAATCCAAGTAGTTAATATTCTTGCAATTGTTTTAACAAACTGAAAGTGTGTCTGTAGATGTTAGCTCAGCCCAAACCACACTGAGGAGACCAAGTTAGAAAATACTTAAACTCAAACTCTTCTTTTTGGCTATTTTTTTGGCTATAAGTAAAAAGGTTTTTTTTGTATAAAATAAAAATTTACTGTCAGTAATATTAATAAAACTGAGGATAAAATCAATACAAATTATGTCAACAATAATACAGATAAATCAAATGTAGCGTCAACACAGCCACCTGAGCAGAAAGTGAGCAGAGCTTTTGACACCGATTGTGTCACTTAAACTGAACAGCATTATTACCATGTTGGAATAAGGTTTAAGTTAGTTTACCTCACTGTGAGGTCAAACCATAAAGGTCAACTTTTAGGCCACTGCACTGACCTGTAAGCGTCCCGACTTGAGGAGAGCAAACATGCACTGGGCTGTGTTGAAGGCGTGTCTCCAGTTGTGATAGGCCACGTTCTTCCTGTAGTTCTTCTTCACGCTGAGAACCCACTGGCAAAGACTCTGCATTGAGGACACAACGGAGACACGTCTAAGTCTCCTTGATAGTAATCGAACCGTCTACCTTCACTACAGTATACAGTCATTTTCAAAACACACAATTACTCAGAACTTTTGGAATCATTATGCAGTCCTTTTTTGACTATGATTAATTCATTAAATCCATCAATTTAATTTGTTGAAGTCTAAGCTGCGGGATCTGACGCTCGAGGGTGGTCCGCGTGTCATTTCTCAGCATGAACGTCAAAACGACAGGCTCGGCCGCGGCAGGAAGCCAATCACCTGGAATTAAAGCCTCCCTTCATGAGACCCTCTCTCTCCGCAGGCACTCCTGAGGTCAGCCGCCAACACACAAGGACCTCTTCACACGGACTGGGACGCTGCCAACGTGAGGTGA